GAAAGATGCGCAGAAATGTGCGTACGCATGGTTTTATAAATCTGAATTTTTTTTGGCGTACGCCATTTCCGCCTTTTGGCCGTACGTTCAYTTTTAGTATGGTTTCCACGCAATCCTTTATAAATGAGACCCCAGAAGAGTAGCTACTACGTATAAACAGCAGAACAATAGTTAAAAGCTAAAATTAGCAAAAACAGATAAAAGCTTAAACCAGCCAAATTGTAGCCTGGTAAAAACCAGACCTTTGTCCATCACTTTGCTTCATACGAGGGTCTGAACTCGCTGCTACAGAGAAGCGATTCTTGCAGGAGGCGTGGCCTCTGCTGAAGTGTGTGTGTGTTGCTGTGAAGGAGGCTAAGCTAAGAAGCTAACCGAAAATCATATGCGCTGTAAACAACCCTACTGAGAGGAGAGAAGTACCGAGCTGAACAAGACGACTGTAAATGAGAGCTGCTGCTTTGTCAGACAAATTTAATTTAATTTGGAAGCCTTATCAACACAGACCGGCTTCATTCACTTCCTCCACTGCTGTATGCTAACTAACTAGCCAACCGCGCAGAAAATCGACATTCTGTTCTCTGATTGGTTCGGCTAAAAATCTGCCAGCGAAATCCTCGTCTATGGGAGAAATCCCAGACGGAGCAGTGAAGGGAAACTAGAATTGAGCGGAACTGCTTAGGAAGGTACGGGCCAGGCTTGCCAAATTGTAGCTAAAAGAAAAAAAAATCTGAATGCCAGATTTAAAACTAAATGTATCAAAACAGTAGCTAAATGCTAAAAAGATAAGAAGAGAAGTCACTACTTATAACCAGCAGAACGAAAGGAMAAAGCTAAAATCAGTTAAACAATAACTAAAAACTAGAGCAGGAATGCTAAAGAGGATTTCAGAGATCTCAATCATTTTTATGGGGGTAAATTATAAAGTAAGAAGTGTAAAAGTTACAAACACAAAAAGCCACAGCTGTAATGTCTGGAACGAGCTGAATATTTTGACTTAGGAACATCTGAAAAAGCAAAGTGGTCAAAGAAAAAAAAAAAAAACAAAAACAAACATTTATAAAACATTAAGTGTAGATCATGTTTTTAATCAGAAAATAATGTTTTTTTTTAGCAGAAACACCGAATCTGATCAAACACAAACTGCTAAACTCTGTTTGTACATGTCTGACGCCGTCATCACTCTCACTGCAGGAAGAGTTTCACTCAACCCTGGAC